GTTAATATGCGATCTTTAAGAAAAGACACTAAACTAAGTTTCTTTCTGTGCTCTTGGATGCACAAAGAAGATTCCATGGTGCTATTTTGAAATACAATAGGGGAGTTTAGGGGAGGCAATGGCCTAGTGGTATTATCGCTGGACTGTTAATCCAGAGACCCAGATAACATTCTGGGGACCCGTATTTGAATCCCGCCACAGCAAATGGTGGAATTTGAATTGAATAAAATACCTGGAATTAAAAATCTAATGATGGCTGTGAATTCATGGCAAATTGCCAGGAAAAACCCACCTGGTTCACTGATGTTCTTTAGGGAAGGAAACTGCCATCCTTACCTGGTTTGGCCTACATGTGACTCCAGACCCACAGCAACGTGGTTGACTCTGAATGCCCTCTGGGCAAATAGGGATGGACAATAAATGCCACGTAGCCAATGATGTCCTCATCCCATTAATGAATAAAGGAAAAAAAAAGTTCTTGTCCATCATCCCTCAACCAACTTCATTCAAAAGTTTGCCATTTAGATAAATGATTTGGATGAGCATATATGAGGCATGGTTGGTAAGTTGCAGATGACACCAAAATTGGTGGTATAGTGGACAGTGAAGAAGGTTCTTTAAGATTACAAAGAGATCTTGATCAATTGGGTCAATGGGCTGAGGAGTGGCAGATGGAGTTTAATTTGGATAGATGTAAGGTACTGCATTTTGGTAGTACAAAGAAGGACAGGACTTATACAGTTAATGGTAGGGCCCGAGGTAGTGTTGTACAACAGAAAGACCAAGGGGTTCAGGTAAGCATCACAGGTAAGCAGGGTGGTTAAGAAGGCGTTTAGCATGCTTGCTTTTATTGCTCAGACCTTTGAGTATAGGAGTTGAGATATCATGTTCAGGTTGTATAGGACATTGGTAAAGCCTCTTCTGGAGTACTGTGTGCAGTTCTGGTTGCCCTGTTATAGGAAGGATGTTATTAAACTGGAGAGGGTTCAGAAAAGATTCACCAGGATGTTGCTGGGAATGGAGGTTTGAGATATAAAAATTGACTGGGACTTTATTTTGAGCATAGGAGGTTGAGGGCTGATGTTACTGATGTTTATACTGTCATGAGGGTTGTAGATAAGGTGAATGACAAGGGTCCTTTCCGTAGGTGGGGGAGTTAAAAACAAGGGGGTGTATTTTTAAGGCGATTGGAGAAAGAGGTAAAAAGGACAGTAAGAGCACCTTTTGCACACAGAGTGGTTCATGTATGGAATGAACTCGCAGAGAAAGTGATGGATGCAGGTACATCTACAACATTTAAAAGACATTTGGATAGGTTCATGAATAGGAAAGGTTTGGAGGGATATGGGCCAAATGCAGACAGGTGGGACTACTTTCTTCTGGAAACATGGTCAGCATAGAGTGGTTAAACTGAAGGGTGTGTTTCCATGCTGTATAGCTCAATAACATTGCTGTTTATTGGAGCATCCTTTATGCAAATTAGCTGTCACATTTCCTATGTCGCAACAGTAGAGTTATTCAGGGAAGCACCCTGGGCCCCATGCTGGGACTGTAAGCATGTGGGGTGGGGGAGGTAACCGGAAGCCAGGGTAGGGATGACCTTTCGAAGAGGTGAGTGTGGCACTGCTGGACTTTGTCTTGAATTTGGCTGGAATCTGTATTGCTGTACTTGTACAGGACCTTGATCACATCTGGAGTATTGTGTGCAGTTTTTGTCTCCTTATCTGAGGATGGATGTTCTGGTTATGTAGGGAGTGCAATAAAGGTTTACCAGACTCATTCTTGGTATGGCAGGACCAACGTATGAAGAGAGGCTGGAACGATTTAGGACTATATTCACTGGAGTTTAGAAGAACGAGGGGAATCTCATAAAAACCTATAAAATTCTAACAGGACTAGGCAGAGTAAATGCAGAGTGAACATTCCTGATGACCTGGGGTTTCAGTTCCAGGGGTCACAGTCTGTGGATATAGAATAGGACATTTAGATCTGACATGAGGGAAATTTCTTCACCCAGAGAGTGGTGAGCCTGTGGAGTTTTCTGTGACAGAATGCGGTTGAGACCAAAACATTAAATGATTACAGCAAGGAGTTAGATATAGTTCTTAGGGCTAAAGGTGTCAAAGGGTATGGGGAGAAAGCAGGAACGGGGTGCTGAGTTGGAAGATCAGCATGCTCATATTGAAGAGCAGAGCATTCGCAAAGGGTCAAATGGCTTACTCCTGCTCCCATCTTCTTTGTTTCCAGTTTTGTGGAAAGGCAGCAAAATACCATTCAGTCAAACACGGAATGATACAAATGGAGGACAAGCTGTAAACCTACAGGGGAAATGAGAGAGACTCTGTGTGATTTGTCTCACGAAAGTGCAGGCTCACAACCCCCTAGGGATGGCTCTGACGGCAGTCACCTCACTTCAAAAGAATTTTATTGGCTATAAAGTGATTTAAGTTGTCTTGAGGCAATAAAAGGCACTATATAAATACAAATCTTTTAAAATATTCATGTCAGATACATGAATGACATCAATTGTTATCATTCTGTTGTTATTATACAGAGAGCTTAATCAGATATTGTATTATAATTCTCTTTACTAACTCACTCACAAGCACTCTATGTTTACTATACCTGTGTGTTCATTCATTCACTCATAATTCGCTACTAACTCACTCACAAGTGCACTATGTTTACTATACGCATTTATATTCACTCATTCATAAAACTGCATTTTTGTAGTACATTTTATAAACTAAATTAAACATCCCTTCTAACCCATTACTGTTTCTTTACAACCTTTCCATTCTTATCGGCCCATGCTGCAAGCAGTGTTTAGACCTGTTTCCGTATCAAAGACTTACCCTGAACAAGTGTTAATACCATAACCTACTGAGACAATGCCAACCCCGCCATTGTGTCTCCATAACCCACTTGAAACTATGGAAAGGTTATAATATTAATTAGGTTGCAGACATCAGACGGTTTCCTCCACTAGTATGTGACATTTTAGATACATATTAAATTGGGCTGCTACCCCCTTTAAGAAATTTACGATCAAAACAGCGCTTCCATGAAACTGCATGAATTAATGTGTAAAAGCTATCAAAACCAGCAATAGTAAGTGAAATCTCATGATCCAGCTATGAGAGATCAGTTTAACATCCTCCATACTTTTATTTAGTACACATATAATTTCTCACTTATTTAGATCATATAGGTCTAATATTTTTACAAACATTACTAAGTGTAAAGACAAAAGGACTAACACCACCTAATTATGGGATAACAAGGTGTAGAGCTGGATGAACACAGCAGGCCAAGCAGCATCAGAGGAGCAGGAAAGCTGACACTTTTGGTCTGGTCCCTCACCTAATTATGCAAGCTCAGACCAGACAGATATTCTAATCCTATCAGGAATAATAACCAACATTGGTTGCGCTTAAACCATCTCCTGCTCCCCCATAACAGATGTTGCGCAAACTTTTGAGTACAATAGATACATCTATGTAACACCATAGTGCTAAAGTTTTAATGCATATAACAATTGTGTATAAAGAGACTACTGTAAAACCATACTTCGGATTCCATTGCCACCTCGACCGGTGCTACTGCGGTTGCTCAATAAAGAGGCTATTTCACCACTCCAATCTCGATCGTTATTGCACACGATCCCACAGCTTGAAGGAGTGAGAGTGTAAAATTGAAATACTGCAAACGCTGGAAATCTGAAGCAAAAACAGAAAATGCTGGAAAAGCTAAGCCGATCTGGCAATGCCTGTGGAGAGAGAAACAGAGTAAATATTCCGAATCCGGTGTAGCTTTTCTTTGGAACAGTTCCAAAGAAGAGTCATTCTGAATTTGAGCATAAGTGTTAGTTGATAAGAATTGACTGGAACTCCTCAAGTTTGAAAGGGAATACTGGTATGTTCATTGGAATCATTGTAAATTATAAGGTACACACATATCAACTGCTTATTTTTTAGCAAGATTACTTTATTAATATTGAGATTGTATTACAAACGATATCAGAACTTGCATTGATATAATACCTTTTACATAGTAAGATGTCTCAAGCGACAATATTAACAAGTTACAGTCAATCCAGTGAGATATTACTTTTAAAATTAAGCGTTGCTGTTTTAGGACAGAGATGAAATTGTTTCTCTCGGAGATTTGTGCAACTTTAGAACTCTGCCTCAGAAGGTGGTGTCATTGAACATTTTTGACATTTTATAATATAGTCTCAATATAATATTTATATAGTAAACCTGCTAAAACATAAGCAGTTGATGTTTTTGTATTTTACAATTATTCTAGTGAACACGCCTGTATTCCCTTTCAAACTTGAGCACTTACAGTCATTTCTTATCAACTTTTAAGGCAGAAGTAAATAGATCCTTGTTAGACAAGGGAATGAAAGTTGTTGGAGGTAGACAGGAATGTGGAATGCAGAACACAAACAATACAGCAATGATTTTATTGAATAGAGGAGCAGGTGTGAAGAGCCACATGGCCTACTTATGCTCCTAATCTGTCTGTTCGTATGTATCACACTACAAGTCACTTGATATATAAAACTGACACTATTTATAGATAACACAGTGTGGAGCTGGAGGAACCCCCCAGGCCAGGCAGCATCAGAGGAGCAGGAAAATTGACATTTCGGGTTGGGACTCTTCCTCAGAAATTATTTCTGAACAAGTGTCCCGATCCACAACGTCAATTTTCCTGCTGCTCTGATGCTGCCTGGCCTGCCGAGTTCCTCCAGCTCCACACTGTGTTATCTCTAACTCCAGATTGTGCAGTTCTTGCTATTTCTCGCTATTTATTTTAACTGGCTTATTGTACAGTAAGTGAAATTAATAAATACTTGTTTCAGTCTTTGTCATTAACACATAAACTTTGTTTTACCTTTTACAGATGCAGGGAATTTTTAAAATAAATAATGTAAATGGGATGGACTGCCAACCAGATGAACTAATTTTTTTCTATTTTTTTCTTTGTAGTTAAGCTACTGGCCGTATTGATATTTCTTCCTAGTGTCGCAGTTGTAGGGTTCATCAGATGGCTGATAATGCCAAAAGACTGTGTAAACGCAAGAGAGCCAGAGAAAATGGTACAGAGGAAATAAAAAAGAAAACAACGAAAATCCAAAATAGGACCACTGCGGAAAGTGACATTAGACAAAGTAGCCAAATTCACCCAAAGGTAAAGAAACTAAAAACATAGGTCATTACGTGTCTGATCAAATTCAAAGCGTTTACCATTGTGAACTGAATTGGAGCTTTAATATTATTCCCAGGGTACAATAATCAGGGAAACTGAAGTGACAAGCATATATGGCCAGGTTGGCATAGGTTCTGTAGAATTGCCTGCAGAATTAATTAACTGAGTGTGAAGTATTGGTCAGCAGTCCACCTTTCTTTTCAGTGAGTGCACTATGGTATGCAGTTTGCTCTGCACTGGCTTCTACAGTTCCCACTTTTGCAAGGGGGAAGATGGTGGCATATTGTTACTGTAGTTGAACTAGGAATGTAGAGGCTGAGGCTAATGCTCTGCAGGCAAGGGTCCAAAGCCAATCCAAAAATTGGTGAAATTTGAATTAAGTTAATAATAATCTTGCAACGTGAAACTTTTCTTGACTGCACTCCGAATTTGCTTCATGACTGCAAAGAGCTTGCACTGCACTGGTTGTGACAAGTGCTATCTAAATGCCAGTTTTTCTTTAAAACTCTCTCCACTATTCCAAACCACATACTCTCTCTACTGTTTCACTCCTTCTCAGTCCTCTGATTTTGTTCATTTTACTGTCCTTAAGCTGCTTAGGCCTCGGCTCTAGAATTCACCCCTACCTGTCAGGTTTTAAGAAGCATCTTAATAACAGTAATGTAATAAAAGAAAAGTACTTCAGCTGCTGGAGACCTGAAATAAAAACAGGATGTGCTGGAAAAACTCAGCAGGCTGCTTGCATCTGTGGAGGAGAAACAGAATTGATGTTTCAAGTTCAATATGACTCTGCTTTGAAGTTTTTGAAGAAAATTCATAATGGATTCAAAATGTTAATGCTATTTCTGTCTCTACAGAAGCTGCCAGAGGAGGTGAGTTTCTCCAGCACTTTCTTTTTATACCTTAAATACTACTTCTGAACAGACAATTGGTTATGCAGCAAACTTACAAACCAGCCCTGTCAATAAACTGGCAAAATTATATACTGCAGATACCGAAGTTTATTGTATTATCACAGTCCCTGCGATGTCTGAGTAGTTAGCTAACGGTCAAGTGAGAAGGCTGTCTGCCAGTCAGTTTTATTTAAGGCAAAGTTGCATTATTATTTGAATTATTTATGCTGTAAATTAAGTATAACAGTCATGTGTATACCCCCTGTATTATGTTTCTATTAGTGTGTGTATTTACATTGATTCTGTGGACGTCTTGGTCAACCGAAATATTTGATCGACTGGTACACGCTTGTTCCCATCGGTGCCGGTTAATAAAACGTTTGCTGTATTCTGTAGTACCTTAGGTTGTTTCACTTATTATTGATGCTTTTTAAATTTAATCTATTTTTGGTACGACATCTTACCATTCTGTTGCACAAAGCTGGCTTTCTTGAATGCAAAGTTATCTCATCTTCATTACATTCAGTAGCAATTTCTAAAATAAGCAGCCTGTGAAAGTCATGATTGAAATTGTTTGTGGTCACAATCTTATTACTTTATAAATAAACACAGTTAAATAAGTAAAGGTGTGATTTTTTTTCCTCATGGTCTACATTAGTTCTTAAATAACTGTTTGTACCCCGTCATTAATGTAACATCTTAAATAATAATTAGAAATAGATTATTTTTTGTTAAGTTTAGAGCAGTTTTTATTTGTAGTTTCCTTTGATAGCATATTTTCAACTGGTCACCTCCTTCATGCCTACTTGCATCCTGCAGCTTTTGATTAGGAGCTGCAAGGTTTCTCAAAGATTCACTTGCCCTGATTAATAGGACTATGTCTTAGCCCCTGTTCACACCTCCCCTGCTAGAATAGCTGAGATCAGTCTGAAGCCAGCATTAGGAAACATGGGCATGAATTCAGGCTTTGTGATGCAGTGTTTCACCTTTTTAGAATTTGATTTTTTAAGTTTAAAATCTTGTATGTTCTTTATGTACCACAATCAAACAATTAAGTCATTGTTTTGAAAATGGTCCTGTAATCCTGTTCCACAACAATAATTTTGTGTCCTTTGTACTTGTTTTATAGCATGTACCTGTTTTCACCATCAATCCAGAAAGCAACCCCTGTGCCGTTACTTATGAGCAGCTCTGTGAGCTGATAAACTATGCTGTATTGGGAAAAGTGAGAAGTTCTCTTCCCAGGTAATGTACATTAGATGCTTATGGTCAACTCTGCATCACTCTGTCATCGTGAGAGGTTCCTGTCGTGGGGGCTTTGACTTTGTTTTCTTTTCAGTTGAGCTAGCATCACACTTCCTGTGCAACTCCCTCGGTCTTTCAGTACAGGTACTGAAGTGCAGAGATTTTCATTCTCCTACTGCCCTACATGCAGTAAAGTCTCTTCCTTTCTTTGTATAAAATTGTTTCCAAATTTTGTGCAAAACCATCATGTGGTATTCATACAATAATCCATAACCAAGAAATCTAGCAAAAATTATGGATATAGGCAGCATTTTCTGTGCAATTTTATGGAAGCATTTTGGATTTTCACAGAACTGTCACAATTTCAGATGTGCTGTGTTTGATAGTAATACTGCACTTGGTGAAGCATAAATGGCTCCTTTAGAACCTGATTGACCTACCATGCATTTCCAACATGGTCTGTTTATATTTCTGAATTTGAGTAACCTGTCCACCGGAAATCATACATTGAATGGAAGTTTTCATCTGTAATTTATAAAAGTTGAACAAGGCAAAAATATTATCCTAAAGCAATTAAAACACTGCAGAATCTTTCTGAATACAGAATATTTAGGGCTGAGAGGTGCCATAGAAACAGATGGCTATTTGTTTGAGACTGCACACCTCGGAACCTTTACTTGAAATTTTATGTATAAAGCATTGCTCTTGATTGATCAGTAAGTCAGATACAGATACTTTGCTATTTTAGTCAAGGTCTTTATCTTATTTTGCTGCTTTTGAGGATATTCCAAATGGTCATTAAAAGTGTTTGACTACAAGAAGGTGTTTTAGTGCTATTTTCTTCCTACAGCTGGTGCCAAGTTCACAAACAGAAAGAACTTAAAGGAGTAGCAGTGATTGTTCTACATGGAGTGAGTCAGATGCACTTCTACAGATACTATCTCCAATTTAAGCAGCTGAAGAAAAGGTTTAGATTTGTAAGTTTACTGTTTCCGTTGTTACATTTAGAAATCCATTTAAAGGTAACTGTATATCCTGACCCATTTGAATATGGAATTACAGGGAACTAACATCAAAGGCAGGCTGTTCACTGGAGCTGGACAATGCGGGTGTTTATACTGCACAGCTTAAATAGTGGTCCATGCTAATATTAGTGATGTTAGCTTAGTCATGGAAATTGACAAGGCGAGAAAGTTGAACACATGTCTACTCTGACTTTGAAGTTGAGTTATTAAAATTCTCATCCACTTGTATTACATCGCAATAAATATGCCACTCTGTCTGTGTTAGTGTTTCGGGGAAGGTGGCAGCTTAGTGGTAATATCATTGGACTTGTAATCCAGATCCGCAGGCTAATGTTCTAGGGACATGGCAGATGGTAAAATTTGAATCCAGTAAAAGCTAGCCTAATGGCAACCATTTAACCACTCTTAATTGTCCTGAAAAACCGTCGGTTTCACTAATGTTCTTTAGGGAAGAAAATCTGCCATCCTTAATAAAGTCTGGTCTGCGTGTGACTCCATACTTATAGCAATGTGGTTGTCTCTTAACTGCCCTCTGAGCTTTGAGGGATAAGTATTAAATGCTGGCCTAGCCTCTTGATCCCACAAACAAATATAGAAAAGAAAAACTGCCTCACTGGTCTGATGCTGCTCTGGCCAGCCTTCACCTCATTTCGAGAGAGGGATTTCTCACTGTAGGCCTGTGCTAGCTCACAGGTCACTACTTCTACTAACACGTGTTACCTTGTTTCCGAGGTGCATGGAAAGCCAAGGATTTGACCTCTAACCCTTCCATTCCCTTCCCAAAACCCTCACCTAACCATGTTCAAGATTGAGCAGCTGAACTGCCTGTTAAATTCTACTGCTGTCCCAATGGGACCAATCGCAGAGCAGAACAGATCCTGATACCTTTCCATTTGGTAGCAGGAATATAAGGACACAAATCACACTTCAGATTTTTTTCTTCATTATGAGGATAAACTTGTTGGATATGCAAATAGAAATAGTAATTTTATGAATTTTCATTTAGCAAGTTGGAAATTTTCTTGGAGGCATCTCTGACACAGTCCAGCTCACACAGCTAATGTTTAATGGGGTGGTTGTTCCCAGAAATAATGTCTCAAGCCCCACACTGGGAGATGGTTTTTTTAATTTAATTTTCACATTCAAAATACTGAACAACTGTGGTGAATAAAGGCTTCTGTCACACGTACAACAATTATTAGATGTAAAAATGGCTTTCCAGGAGACCCCAGCTACCAAAGAGTACATTAGTTTATAGGAAATAGGAACGGTAAATAAATAGTACAAGATGGAGTTAAGCCATATCTTTTGATGCTTTGCAAAGTCTTTTTGATACCATCCACAAAATGTCCTGTCAAACATACCTTGACATATTTGCAGTGAAAATTTTAATAAGGACTAACAAATGGACAGATCGGTTAATTCTGACTTGATCCTGTTTTCAAATAATTTGCTAATAATAAGTTTAAGTTTGCATCTAGTTGCAAATGCTATAAATAAGTCATAAGACAGGAGCTGCACTTAAATGCATGTCTCATTTACTGAGACTGACATTGCCTCTGTGCATGTGCAAGAAATGCTTCCTTAGTATTGACAGTAATATCTAGACCTAAACTTAGTTGTATGTGTAAATGTTTTCAAATGAAAGCAGCCAATAGGATTTCATTTGGCTGGGATGTGCTACCAGTGGGTCAAAATAACTGATGGTGAATGACCACTTGGCCAAGACAGCTGCCTCCATTTGTGGATCTCTACAATGGCATGAATTCCCTTCTGGGGAGAAATCTAATAAAGCTAATTTGTTTATTTTAAATAAAAAGACATCATGCTTTTAAAAATAATCAACCTACTACACTGATGACTGTAAAATGAACAGTTTCTTGCAGAATGTCCCTAGTACCTAACAGATCATATCTTCTGAGGAAGGGTCACCGGACCCGAAACGTTAACTCTGTTTTCTCCTTCACAGATGCTGCCAGACCTGCTGAGCTTTTCCAGCAACTTTGTTTTTGCTCCTGATTTACAGCATCTGCAGTTCTTTTGGGTTTTAGATCATATCTATGTTTCTATTGATGTTCACATAATACTGTAACTGCTTTTATTCTTCTTTCTGTTTACTTACAGAGATTTAGCATACCCCCTCCTCCTGATGATTTTCTACTTCGTATTTTTGGAACTGAGAAATTGCTCCCACGAGATAAAAGTCCTATGGTCAATGGTAATGACATAACAACAAAATATAATTATTGCACAAAGGGACAGAATACGTGTTTTGTTTTCTGTTACTTTTGCGCCAAAACATGAGATTAAGCTGACTCAATGCAACCTGCATGGCTTTTGGCTATCTGCTCACTTACTAACTGAAACAAAATACCTCAAATTACAAGTCTGCCTATGAACAGACCAGTGAAGTGCACAAGATGATACATGTCCAGAACAGATCACAATTTTACATTCCTGATTTATGTTGGTCTGTATGGGAACACTTCTGAATAAAAAACACTTGAAACCACTTGTGCTCAAGTGAATAACTAGTACACCCAAAACAATATCCAGTGGACCCAAACTTAGTTGCGTGCATAAATATTTTCAAATCAAATATAAATATTTTTTGAGCTTAAAGTAGGTATGGGATGGATCGGAGAATGTGGAAATTGGGGATGCAAAACAAAAAGCTGCACATTAAAGCAAATGCTGTTTGGTTAGGAAGAATGTAGTAACAAATTTAGCTCTTCATTTCAGGTACGCCTGCAGTAAATGGTCATTGTTTTATGACAGAGAATAATAGCTGCGGACCATCAGATGTTGACAATCATCCCATTATTATTAAATATGGCAGAAAGAAACAAGGCTTGACCAGTTTTTTGTTGAGTGAAGAAGAGCTGATGAAGAATGATTATCCTGTTGCAGGTCAGTATACTTTTCGTACACAGCTGAACACACCTTTGCCGTGTTACTTGCCCTGTGATGTTGAAACTGTACCCAGACTACATTTTTGAGACTGCTCTACTTTTAGCCTAACTACTTCAGTTTCTGTATTTAGACAGCCTTAGTAATTAAATTCTTATTACCTTGTGCCTTTGAGATTACTGTCACTGGAATTTGACAGCCAGATATATTTTTTGATGAACAAAAACAAAGTTGCTGGAAAAGCTCAGCAGGTCTGGCAACACTGAGGAGTTCTGAGGAAGGGTCACCGAACCCGAAACGATAACTCTGTTTTCTCCTCCACAGATGCTGCCAGACCTGCTGAGCTTTTCCAGCAACTTTGTTTTTGTTCTTGATTTACAACATCTGCAGTTCTTTTGGTTTTTATATTTTTTGATGACTTGATTGAGGTAACAAAAAAATGTTGTCCATAAATTGGTTTAGCCACTGACTCCATCTTCTGCTTACATATCCAGTTCTAAAGAAAGATGTTGGATGATAAGGAGTTTTAAGGGCAGTTTTAACTATTTGGTTATGTTGCATGTGTATATACTACGGTTGTAAAATAGCTTTATTTTGCTGTCTCAGCAGTGTGACCACTGTACTCCTGTGCTTTCTTTTTCAAAATATATCAGGCACTCCTCATTCAGACGGATTTGTCCAAACTGGGTGTACAGCTAAAGTAACTGACAACAGTCCATTGTTGGGCCTAGACTGTGAAATGGTAAGTTACTTTTCCTGTTTAAAGCCCACCATAGTTAAAAATTGTAAGTTGAAGCAAGAGGAATGTGATAGGTTTGGGCCAAGTTATGAATGAATGTAAGGCTGTGCTATTACAAACTGTCTCTAAGTCCAGAATTCTTTTCAGCGTTATTTCCCTCTTTGTTACTTACAGCATATGATGTAGACAATTTGTTGTATTGGTCGCAGGAAGAAAAACCTTACCTAATATTAGTACTATTGGATTTGAGAGAGAACACTGCACTTATTTCAACCCAAAACTTGCATTTTTCCAGCTCCAAGTGCTATATAAATGGATGCATTACTTCAGTTTTTAGTCATGGGAAAGCTAACTATTAGGGAGTATCAGAGACTGATGTCTAATAGAGTGATGTATTCTAAAATTATGCAGCAAACGCAGGTGATTGCTGATGGAACTTTAATTCAATAAAGCTTTAAAATTAAAAGTCTAACAATGACTATGAAAATGTTGTTGATTGTTGGAAAAACCCATCTGGTTTACTAATGCCCTTTAGGGAAGGAAACTGCCATCCTTACCTGGTCTGGCCTACATGTGACTCCAGACCCAGAGCGATGTGGTTGACAATAAATGCTCTCCTAGCCAGTGATGGGCACATCCAGTGAATAAGAAAACGTACTTAACCTGACACGAGTGTACAGCTATAATAGTGGTTAAAATGTTTACCTACAATGAATGATACTGACTCCATTTTTATACAAAACAGTTTTAAGTGTAAAGGAAACCTTCACTATTCCCCAATCCCAACTGCCCTAAGCTGCTCCTTGGGCATAGTAGTTTGTTAAACAGCAGCCCCCTCACCCCCCCACCCCCCCCCCCCCCCCACCGCCCCACCCCATTTATTTCTGAGCTCCCTTCTCCCTCCCCAGCACCAATGAAGGGTGTAAAGCCGAAACATTGACTTTTCTGCTCCTCTGAATCTGCCTGATGTGCTATGTTCCTCCAGCTCTACTGATTTAACACTCCGTGCTCCTGATCACAAGTGGTATCACTCAAGTTCTTAAAAAAGGTCTTGTTGTGTCCCTTGTCAACCAACTTGATTCTTTCCACATTGTGGTTGCCACTCATACTGAATTTCCATTGTCCTGTAAGATAGGACATCATGGATGCTGATCATCACTGGTTAATCCTCACTCTTTCTGATAGTCCTTGCATTTCCATACTCCTTGATTTGTGTCCAGTGTTTCTACCGTCATTTACTTTCTATATCCACATGGGCAAGTACTCATTACCAGGGCACTATAAGGTCCTTGCTAGCAAAGTGCTAAGCCTGGTTTTATAAGTAGGACCTAACCATTTCTTGATCCCCACAGGACTAGGACTTAGAACTAGGATAATGATTGGTGAATGTTAGTTTTGACAATTGCAACTTTCTGCTGCCTCTGTGAATTTTTAAACTGTCTTTTTGCATTGAATATGGTCATATGGCATCTCCCTAATGTATGTTTTCGCCTACTCAAGGTGAGCATGTAGTCATGCATTACCCCCAAATGTGTACTATTATCCATGTATTGCTTGATCTGCTTTCCTTCCCCTTTAGGGGTTGGGCTAGTGCTACAAATTTTGGGGCCTGCCTTAAACCAGCTTTTAAAATCATTATCTGGAACCAGGCAACATTCAGAGTGATCAGTTTGTTTGAAGTGCACATTCTTTGAAAACACTCAATAATCATTACTAGTCAGCAGTCTGCGGGTCTCTGGGTTCCCTAAGCAATTCTGTTCCCTGAGAGTTGACCATATGTGAATTGCTGCTTCTTTAACCTTGGTATGAAGATTTGAAATTAAAAATGACTCGAACTTCCTCCACAGTTGTGGCAGTGTGCTTTAGCTTTAATATCTCAGTGTCATTGTTACCCAGTAACTTGGGTCTTTACATTTCAATGATTTCCCGCAGTCCTGTCGCTTAATTGCTGGATTTTAGATAAATCATCGAGTCTATCCAAACTTCTCAGTTTCTTTTCTTAACTGTTTGAAATTCAAATTACCTAAATGTGTGCTTCTAAGTCCTGAGAAGCAACATCCAAAATTAAGATAAATTCCTCTTTACTACTGAGAATTATAGCAGAAACCAGATTCTTAAAACCTTAAATTTTGCAACATTTTTAACCCCAGGACCTGTTCAACCCAATACAGAATTCATTATAATTACTCCAGACATTAGAAATAAATCCATTTGCGTCAGACACACAGAGTAAGAACAGCACACACTCTTGAGGAAAGGAAAATGGAGAGAAATTGATTATCATACTCTAAGCAGCAAACTGCTTTAAAACCATGCACAAGATGTATCACAAGGAGTTAAAACACCTTTAAATGACGTAGACACTGACCATGAAACTATAACCACTGCTTGTCCAGCCCAACACTTCCTGTCACTCCAAAAACAATGTAAAGAAATTGTTCCAACCCAATGGTTATTTCATAAAACTTGAAATGTGAGTCATTTATTGTTGTATTAATTTGAATTATTTCAGTGCCTGACCACAAAAGGGAATGAGCTGACTCGTGTCTGTGTTGTCAATGCAGATGGCAGTTGTCTTATGGATGAGCTGGTGAAGCCAGACAACCCAATCCTCAACTACCTCACCAGGTAATGATTAAATTGTAGGATTTCTAGTGGATTATTTTACTAATATATTGTTGGCCTTTTTAATAAGTGGAATATAAGGGGCCCATTTAACATGTGCTGTTATGCACTTTTCTTCAAGTATTGCATTTATCAGAGTGTTGTGCCTTTTTGTGATGAGACAGAATTTCTGCTATGATAACATAAAGTTCTAAGTATATTGTGTGAACTGGGTAGCCCAGTTGGCAGCACTTCCACATCAGTGGAAGAAGGTTGGGACCCTTCATCAGTTCTGATGAAGGGTTCCAACCCAAAACGTCAACTTTCCTGCTCCTCTGGTGCTGCCTGACCTGCTATGTTCCTCCAGCTCCACACTGTGTTGACGCTGACTCCAGTATCTGCAGTTCTTGCTATCTCTGTGGAAGAAGGTTGTGAGTTCAAGTCTCAATCCAGAGACCTGAGCACTAGATCAAGGCTGATACTCCAGTAAGTACTATGAGATAGTATGTTTTGGTTGAAGCATTAATCTGAGGCCCAGTGGGCTCTCCGCACTCAAATTAAAAAACTCATAGTATAACTTCAGAGAGCATGGAAGTTTTCCACAATGTCCCAACAATATTTATCCCTCAACAAAGTCATTCAAGAACAAATTATCTGGTGATTATTTTAATATTTATGGAACTAGCTTTGCACTCTGATTTTTTTATAATACAACAATGAATACAGAATTACTGAATTGACTGAATAGTGCTTTAGAGCACACTGGTAAAGGCATTTAATAAATGCACGTTTTTTCTTTCCTTAGTTATAGCTTAGTTGAGGAGTAGTGGAAGAATTTCTTGCATTATTTTAGGCACAATGGGTATTATGTTATTTTGACATATGATTTTGTGGACTGCAATGATTTTGATACAACTTTAAGCACTTGGTGGTAAAATCTGTGTCTTCCTGTGTGGGTGTTTGTAATGATAATTGGCAAAAAGTAAACATGAAACTAAGGAGATTACTTCCTGGGTCAGAAATGTTACCATATGTGTTTCTAATATGGAATTAAGGTGGTTTACGAACAACATAAAAATGAAGCTAATTAGTGACTGAGAAAGTCAGTCTGTGTAATCTGACATTATAATGTCGCAACTAAAGCATTAATAGACCATATATTAATCAGGAATACAGCTTTTCCACAGAACTTTCATATGTAATATACATAAAACCCAATTAACTCATCCATACTTTTAATAGAAACAGGAGGAGACTATTGAAAGTTAGATTCAGCTTATCCTTACTAATCTGCATGTTTTAATATGAAGAGGCCAGTGTGTTGAAAATTTCCCATTTTGTTACGTTTGTTCTGGTGACCACGTGGACTGGAATAAAATCTTTAATAGCTTGCTGCTGTTTTTCTTCTTAATCTCAAACCCCCTCATAAAATGTTAACCGGAGGTGCAATTCCATATTATTACAGTACCTTTGAGAGCTTATGATCCTTCTTCAAATATGCACGTGGTGTAATCTGAGTAGCAGCTTCAGTCCAGTGTCACTCGCAGTAGCCCTCAGATGTATGGTTTGTAGTTAGATGATTACTTTTTAGAATTGTGTAAAAGTTTTTATTTTATTGAACAAAAGTAGAATTATATGGCAATTAAGTGTGCATATTAAAAGAAACTTGCCTTTCTCTTGTATAAATATTTGGCTAAGTTTTAAGAAAAAGCCGTATTTAAAATTTTGATATTTTATGAAATCAAAGATTTGAGGTGTCACAAATTGCACAATTCAGGTTCTCTGGAATTACGAAGAAAATGCTGATGCCAGTGAAAACAAAGCTGGGGGATGTTCAAGCTAAGTTAAAGAAGATCTTACCCAATGATGCTGTGCTTGTGGGCCATTCTTTAAACAATGACTTGAATGCATTAAAAGTAAGAATGATATATGTCTTTGTAATTTTCTGCACACAATAGTTAGAGATATGAGGCATCTTTTAGAACTGAGGTTGAATATTTCTCAAGGATTCAATAGTTACATAGTGTAGAGATTGGAAAAAGGGCCAGGTGGATCTCATTGACTATGAGTTCCTTGATTGGGGTTGTACACGTGGGCCATTCAGGGAGCCCTGGCTGATAAATATGAACAGGTGATTCAGAGAGTCTCCTCACTTAAGGAGCTAGCTCTAAGCTGGCTGGTCGGAGCCTGTGTACTGTGCACATGTAAATAAAGGGTAACTTGGTGACAGAATACCGGCCTCTTTGCAGTTATTTCAGGTAACCAATGTATTCAACTAGAGACAATATGAAAAGCACAACATGTGAATACACTGCCATTTCAACATGATGGATTGGGTTGAATTTAGACTTGATTGATGATGGGAATAAAAAATAAACATTTAGAGATTTTGTTCAGGCCCATCTTGATGACATCATTTTTTGCTAATTGGCTGGATGTGCCCATCAAATTGATGGGAAGCCCAAACCGTTTTCAGGGCCTGGATTCATTAGAACTCAGCCAGTAGACTGTGGGCAGGTAATGATCTTCCTGGGATGGTAAGTAGGCCAAGGCTTTGTGGAGTGGGGATGGAATTGTGTGAAGCTGGAGCTGGCCTAGCCTGGACATTGTGGAGCCTAGAAGTACATTTCTGTTTCCCCAAGCTGCATAGTGCTATTATAAAACTTATCTGTGAGTTTTTCATTCTCTGGGCATCCAGCCGCTGGACAGAATGCAGTGAAATGATAAATAGGCTCCTATTTATATTGAAAGACTATGATCCTGTACTGAAAGGTCCTGACGCTGCCACAAGTAGTAGGCTTAGAAATAACTGCTGTGGCTTTGATGATAGTAGTAGTGGGGTGGAGAATCATTCATAGAGTCATAGAGCTGTATAGCATGGAAACAAACCCTTCAGTCCAACTCGTCCATACCAACCAGATATCCCATATAAATTGAGTCCCATTTGCCAGCATTTGGCCTATATCCCTCTTAAACCCTTCCTATTCATATACCCATCCAGATGCCTTTTTAAATGTTGTAATTGTACCAGCCTCCACCATTTCCTTTGATAACTCATTCCATACATGCACCACCCTCCATGTGAAAAAAGTTGCCCCTTAGGTCCCTTTTATATCTTTCCTCTCTCACCTTAAACCTATGCCCTCTAATTTTGGACTCCCCCACCCTGGGGAAAAGACCTTGGCTATTCACCTTATTTATTCCCCTCATAATTTTACAAGCCTCTATAAGGTCACCCCTCAGCCTCTGACATTCTAGTGAAAATAGCCCCAGCGTATTCAGCCTCTCCCTGTAGCTCAAACCTTCCAACCCTGGCAACAGCATTGTAAATCTTTTCTGAACCCTTTCAAGTTTTTCAACATCCTTCCTATAACAGGGAGATCAGAATTGAATGCAGTATTCCAAAAGTAGCCTAACCAATGTCCTGTACAGCAGCAATATGATCTCCCAATTGCTATACTGAATGCACTACCAATAACGGTAAGCACACCAAACGCCTTCTTCATTATCCTGTCTACCTGCAACTCTTCAGGGAACAGTGAACCTGCATTCCAAGGAGTCTTTGTTCAGCAACATTCTCCAGGACCTTACTATTAAGTGTGTAAGCCCTGCCTTATTCCTCCATTCCAAAATGCAGCACCTCACATTTATTTAAAGTAAACTGCACCTGCCACTCCTCAGCCCACCTGCCCATCTGATCAAGGTCCCGTTATCCTTCTTGGCTGTCTACTACTCCACCAATTTTGGTGTCATCTGCAAACTTACTAACCATATCTCCTATTTTCACATCCAAATCATTTATATAAATGATAAAAATCAGTGGACCCAGCACTGATCCTTGTGGCACACCACTGGTCACAGGCCTCCGGTCTGAAAAGCAGCCCGCCACCACCACCCTCTATCTCCTACCTTTGAGCTAGTTCTGTTCTGTATCCAAATGGCTAGTTCTCCCTCTATTCCATGTGATCTAACCTTGCTAATCAGTCTACCATGTGGAACCTTGTTGAACACCTTTCTGAAGTCCATATAGATCACATCCACTGCTCTGCCTTCACCAATCCACTTCATTACTTCAAAAAACGTAATTAAGTTAGTGAGACATGATTACCCACGCTTAAAGCCGTGACTAAACCTATTCAGTCCTTGCCTTTCCAAATACATGTAAGTCCTGTCCCTCAGGATTCCCTCCAACAACTTGCCCACCACTGATGTCAGGCTCACCGGCCTGTAGTTCCCTGGCTTTTCCTTACCACCTTTCTTAACACATTAGCTAACCTCCAGTCTCTGGCACCTCATCTGTGGCTATCGATGATGCAAATATCTCAGCAAGGGGCCCCAGCAATCGTTTTCCTAGCTTCTTACAAAGTTCTAGGGTACACCTGATCAGGTCCTGGGGATTTATCCACGTTTTTGCATTTTGAGATGTCCAGCACCACCACTTCTGTAATATGGACATTTTTCAAGATGTTGCTATTTATTTCCCCATGTTCCCTAGCTTCCATTTCCTTCTCCACAGTAAACACTAGAGTGAAATACTCGTTCAGTATCTCCCCCATCTCCTGCAGTTCCACACATAGTGGCCTGCTGATCTTTAAGGTGCCCTGTTCTCTCGCTAGTTACCTTTTTGTCCTTAATGTATTTGTAGAATCACTTTGGATTCTCCTTAACCTTATTTGCCAAAGCTATCTCATGTCCCCTTTTGGCCCTCCTGATTTCCCTCTTAAATATACTTTTACTGCCTTTATACACTTATAGGGATTCCCTCTATCCCTGCTGTCTCCTTAATGTTTTCAGTGGGTTGGAAGGATAATTTTTCCTGTCAACATTTATTAATAATCTTGAACTGCCACAATGCAATCAGCTCCCAAGGAAATCTAACAACAAGTCACCATCAAAACTGTTCCTACAGTCTGTGAATGAAGCTGTAGAAAATGGAAATCACGCAGATAGGACAAAGGATGCTTTTTTAGCCTTGACGGTCAAATCCTTTTAAGATTAACACAATATGATCTCTGCAGTTTCTGACCCACAAGTGATTGGCTGTATACCCAAAAGGTGCATGCTCAAATCCTAAACCTTCTGTGGCTTCTTTTTGATACAAAAAGAAACTGTGTTCTTGTGCATTTTTACAAGGTTTTTTAAAATTTCTGCTGGAATATTTTAATGTGGTTTCAGTAGATAATGTTACTTGATTTTCGTTGAGGTAAGATGGGGAAAGTTCAAAGGAGATGTGAGGGGCAAGTTTTTTTACGCAAGGAGTGGTAGGAGTCTGGAATGCATTGTCAGGGGTGGGAGTGGAGGCAGATACAATAAGGGCATTTAAGAGACTTTTAGACAAGCACATGAATATGCAAGGAATGGAGTGAAATGGACCAAGGGCAGGCAGAAGGGATTAGGAGATAGTGGGATAACAAGGTGTAGAGCTGGATGAACACCGCACGCCAAGCAGCATCAGTGGAGCAGGAAAGCTGACGTTTCGGGTCTAGACCCTTCTTCAGAAAAGTTTCATTTAGGGTCATGTTCAGCACAACACTGTGGGCTGAAGGGTCCGTTCCTGTGCTATACTGTTCTATTTTCTATGAAACAGAATTTTTCCACGAATTGGTAACGTTCAGTATGACTTTTTTTCAGGTTTGTGCTTTGCATTCCCCAGTAATTGATTGCAGTTTGTTTCTTGCAGATGATTCATCCAAATGTTATTGACACATCACTGCTTTATGCCAGGGACTTGGGTCAGAGATTTAAGTTGAAAGTTTTGGCAAAAAGTGTTCTGGGGTGAGATAATTGTTTATTTGCATGGATTGGTCGTTCTGGAAGCACATGGTCATTTAATGATTGTTATTGGAAGGGAAAGATAACTACTCATGTACATTTTGGATGAAATATGTCTTTAAATTATTTAAACAATTGGTGAATTTGTTAGATGTATACATTAGATTATTTTTATAGGAAAATGTGGGATTGCTGAGTCTGGTTCTGCACTAAAGATGAAGCACAAGGCTATCATGTAGATGCACTTGAGAAAGGCTGTTTGAACTATATCCTTCAGAAAAATTTGCAATTCCCCTTTCCCATCTTTGTTCTTCCAATTGTCTTTTAAACAAAATCTATTCCCAATTCCCTTAGCCCGTTGCCACAAAACTCTTGGCTGCCAGTTCTTCTCTCCTGATTCCCATATAAGCTTAACCTTGTCCACTGGGAATTGCTGGCATGGCAATTGTTCCTTTTCTTATTCTAACCTATCTCCTTCTAAACTTGCAGCATTCTGTTCTCTTACTCTGTTATCCATCCTGCAGACACATCAGCAAGTTCACTAGGGATCACAGGGGTTGTATTGTGCTGTTGTTTCTGTTGTTAATCACATTCAGGACTGAACCATGCTCATTCTGACAGTGAAGTGAGAGAGATGGTGGTATAGTGGACTGTGAAGAAGGTTATCTAAGAATACAACAGAACCTTGACTAGCTAGGCCGATGGGTGGAGAAGTGGCAGATGAGTTTAATTTAGATAAATACGAGGTGTTGTATTTTGGTAAGGCAAACCAGGGCAAAACTTACACACTTAATGGTAGGACCCTGGGGACTGTTGTTGAACAGAAGGACCAAGGGGTGCAGCTTCATTGTTCCTTGAAAGTGGAGTCACAGGTAGACAGGGTAGTGAAGAAGGCGTCTGACACGCTTGCCTTCATTGGTCAGAACGTTGAATATAGGAGTTGGGACATCATGTTGCAGCTGTACAAGACATTTGTGAGGCCACTTTTAGAATATTGCATTCAATTCTGATCACCCTGCTATAATTGAAAGGATTCAGAAAAGCTTGACAAGGATGTTGCTGGGACTGGAGGGTTTGAAATTTAAGAAGAGGTTGGATAGACTGGGATGATTTTTCCCTGGAGTGTCCGGGGCCGATAGGTGACCTTATAGAGATGTATAAAATTATGAGGGGCACAGATAAGATGAATAGCCAAGGTCTTTTCCAAGAGGAGGGGAGTCCAATACGAGATGGCATAAGTTTAAGGTGAGAGGGGAAAGATTTAAAAGGGACCTAAGGAACTTTTTCACACAGAGGGTGGTGCATCTATAGAATGAACTACCAGAGAAAGTGGTAGAGGTGGGTACAATTGGATAGGTGCATGGATTGGAATGGTTTAGAGGGATATGGACCAAACACAGGAAAATAGGACTAGTTCAGTTTAGGATACCTTGTTGGCATGGACGAGTTGGACCAAAGGTCTGTTTCCATGCTGCATGACTCCATGACTCAGGTCCAACCTTAACATTATCCAACATGCTGATATATTGATGTCTGACCTTCTACAAAGCAAGGGGCAAACACCAATTCTCTGACACTGCCTTTATGTCCCTGGTCTATAACCTGAGCACAAACATCAATATTTTCTGGTCAGCTCCAGACATCTCCCTTTCCCTAGTTCCTGTCTTCTGTATTTCCCCTCTGACCACCCCACGACCAGCCCCCGTAACACCATGCAACCTGCCTCCACAGCTTCCGAAGTTTCTCAGACAGTACCATCACTCTAGATCTATTGTTTCAGCCTATTCCTCCCCTGCTGAGCTGATTTCTTCCTAACTCAACTATTTTTCTCTGCCCTTGTGCAGTCTCTTCCAAATTATGTCCGTGATTTAGCAATGCTCTGTCACTTTTATAGTTTTCAGTGTCCTGACCCAAACTATCTCCTTTTCCTTCCAGTTGCTCTATATGTCCAACTCACCTGGGAAATCTGAGAGCTTTCTGCTTTTTCACTGAAAGGATAT